AAATTATGCAATTAAAAAATTAAAATTACCATATCTATGTAAATAAATAAAATTTAATAATTTATGTAAATATTAATTTAATATTAATTATAACTTTATCTTATTAATTACATTTGAAATACATAATATATATATATATATATATATATATATATATATAAATGAAAAAAAGGATGATGATTTAGGGATTCACATCTGAATAAAATAAAGTAAAGAAAAAGAGTAATAGTTTTTCTTCATAAAAGAAAAAAAAGTTTATAAATATAATGTAGTTGTAATGATGTCATGTTTATAAATATAAAAATATATCTAAGTGTTTAAAAACTTTGAATAAAAGGTTAAGCTAAATAGTTTTTAGAAAAAATCATCTCATATAATAAAATTAGGTAGTTTTCTTTAAAGATTAAGTACTAACATGGTAGTGGATTTCAGAATTAAAAATAACAAGAGAAAAATGAAAGGATATAAAGTAATACTATACACTTAGAGGTTAAAAGAAATTTTGAGCATGAGCAGTGAATGTTAGTGAATGTTAGTTGCACACATACATGGAGAAATTAAGAATATTCAAGTAAGAAAAATTAGTTATTCAAATAGTAAAATATCTTGTTGAAAGTATATGTGTTTGGTACGTTGAAATAAAAGTACAAAAATATGTTTATGTTATTTTAGTGTTGTATGTATCTATTAAGTTGTATAGTTAGATATTAGAATGACAAAATATTGAAAATTAGAAAACTATTTTTATTTGATTTCGTTTTTCACTCAAGTGAGATGTACGTCGCTTCGGTGAGGGCAAGATAGTGTTGGTTCCATCAAGTGAGAATTAATTAGGTTTAATTCAAGCGATGTTATTTTTCCTCAAGCAAGGTGTTTCTAGGAGGAAAGATAATTGAGACAGATCAAATTCTTGCTCAAGTGAGAAGTTATAGATATTTTTGGGTGTTTTCTAGTATACTTCAAATTCTGGTTTAAATGAGAATAATGATAGATCTTGACTATTAATTTTGGAGGATAAATAATATATTATTAATAAATAATAAATGAATATGAAAGGATAAAATAATATGAAACGATGAGACGAAAAAATTGTAAATATAAAATAAATATATTAATAATGGTTAAGTTTTGGGACCAAAATCATAAATACATATAAAAGTTACAAAATTTGTTCGGATCCTTGGTCCCCCTCAATTCCCAATAAGATTCGCCATCTGAAGGAGAACATTTTAGCTCAAGCAAGAATCATGTAACAAAATTTGAAGTGAGAAAAAAGACATATGATGATATGGTGTTGTTGCGTATTCTTGAAACAAAGATATATCTATTGAGACTTAGTTGAACCAAAAGAGGAACTCATAATTGATTGAGATATATTTGTGTGAGAAGCTAAGTTAAAGATGTGGTCCATAATTCAGTAAGATGCATGTGGTTGTGGGTACTTGGAGTAGTATGGTGTGGTGTTAGTGTAACTAATATGTGTGTACGAATTCAATGAAATCTTAAGTTCATTAACTCAATCAAGTATACTACAGTATCAATAAGTGAGGAGTTGATAAGAGATTCTGATTTATTGCCTTGAGAGTCAGTGATGGATCTTGACCATTGATCTTGGGGGGCCAAATAATATATTATTAATAAATAATAAATAAATATAAAAGGAAGAAAGAAGATGAAAGGGTAAAAGGATAAAATTGTAAATATATACTTAAATATATTAAATGATCATTAAGTTAGAGAGAGACAAAATCATAAATTATATGAGAGTTACAAAGCCGAGGAGGACTGAGAGGATAAAATTATAAATATACAAGTAAATATATTAAATGTTAATTAAGTTTGGGGGGACCAAAATCATAAATTACATGAGAGTTACAAAACTTTGAGGGGGCTACGGCCCCCCTCAGCTCCTAAGAAGATCCGCCACTGCTTGAGATCATGTGAGAGATGCAAATGATTTGTGTTATTAATAGTTCTACTGTGTAGATAGAGAAACCAAAATTATATTGTTAGTAAGAGAGTATCTTGTGCAATAATGACTTCTAAAAAATGTCTATATAAGTCAAATGTTATGTGATGAATTGTGATATGATGTAATATAATGTGCATGATGTTATCAAATATAAATATGTAATATACTATTATTCTAGTATACTAACATTCTAGTAAGGTTGCTTATTTGAATAATTGATTTACCCTTATTTTTTATTTATATGATTTAATTGTTATAATTATGTTAATTATATGAGAATAAATGATATTATAAGTCTTACGATATTCAAAACCAAACCAAAAAAAATTGATAAAAAAAAACTAATAAAAAAATTAAAAACTAATCAAAATTGATTATTTTTGGAATTTTTAGATTAAAATTTTTTTAAAATTCGATTTGTGGTTTGGTTGTCAACCCAACCCAAACAAAACCCAACCACAATTATAATACAAATAATGAAATAAAATGATATTTATTATGATAAATCAATTAAAACATAAATCGTCACATAAAATATAAGAAACGACAAGTATAAATGAATGAATGTGACTTTTTTAGGTGAGCCCATCAAGCGCGTGATCATACAAATTTTAATTATTTAAATCTATCCGAACAAAATAAAACATAACATATCCATATCACTTTCAATTAAGCAATTCTAGAAAGAGAGTGATGGAAAAAAATGATATTTTTAATTAAATTTATTTATTTTATTTATATTTAAAGAAAAAATAAATATATAATTAAAAAATAAAGGAGAGAAAATATAAAATAAATAAAAAATAAAATTAAGCATGATTAAAAAACTTAATATTAGAGGAATGTAAAATTTAGTGATAAATATATTTTTTAAAATTTTAGTAATAATAAATAATTTAAAGTATTTTTTTATTAAACAAGTTCTTTCTTCTTTTAACAAATCAATCATACATTTCCAGGTGCATAAAGGAGGAAGGAAGAAATGCAAAATTGTGATGGATTTATAAGGAAAAAGAAACTTACAAAATTAAGCTACGTAAGCAGTGACTCCATTCACGATACTTTTATGGTCATATAACAAAAAAAATGATGTTACCATCCATATTGTAGTCAAAATCAAAGCTTGAATATTCATCGTTATAGAAAGAAAAAATAAAAGGCCGACCTGAACCATCAACCCCTGTCCCAGAGAAAGAACTTGTTGTTTCGAAAATCATAAATATCTCCTCGGATACAAGCAAATAAAAAAAAAGATAAATAAAACTTAATTAACAAATTAAACCATTTTTAATAAGTGTTTAGTTTGATACAACTTTTTATGATAAAATGTAGAAAATTATTTTTATTTAACATGGTGATAAGATAGAAAATAGAGATGCATTTTAAAAATTTAAGATTGTTTTACTAAGATTATTTTAACAATATAAAATATTTGTTGTTATTAAATTTGTTAATCTTAAAATTCAGAATGAGGAAGTTATACTTTTTAAAAGTATTAAAAAAAAAGGTTTAATCTGATGTGGATCTTAAACCCGTGTTTGCAAATGAATTAATGAATTTGGTGAAGGGAAAAATTATTTTCACTACTGTATTTTATCAAACTGAATTCAATATTATAATAATAATAGAAATTATAATTTTAATAATTAATAATAATAATTATTATTATTATATTATTAAACGGGATTGCATAGTAGATGTTTGGTTAAAAAGCAGTACTGCTGTTTGGTGAAAGCTTTAGCAGACAGTTGAAGACCAAAAGTAAATCATAATTGTGGTGACATATGATACACGTTTGTGTTTCAGAAATCGTACTATATCACTCTACCTACATTTCAAATATTTAAATCAATTTTGTAACATATGCGTTGTTTATATATATATATATATATATATATATATATATATATATATATATATATATATATATATATATATATCACCAATGAGAAAAACTTAATAAATTTAAAGGAAATTTAGTAAATTTATTATAATTAATGTAATTAATATAATTAAATATAGATAATTGAATAATAATATTTATATTTTTTTTGGATAAAATAGATAGATTAAATAAAAATTAAAGATATAATTATTAAAAAAAATATTTATTTTTTAAATTAGATATTAATTTGATATTGATTTTAAAATTATTTTTTTAAAATTTATCGAATTTGATAAATATAATATTTTAAATTCATAATCTAATTTTAGAGAGAATAAATTTTATTTTTTTATACTTTAAAAAATGTAATATTTATTTATTAATTTTTATTGTAATAAAATTAATAAAAAATTTAAATATAATTTTAATATTTTCTATATCTAAACGTAATATTAATAATTTTAATTCCAATAATTTTATTGTTTTTAAAATTTTTAATAATATTTAAATTTTAATCTTATTAATTATATTAAATCGATTAATAACAATACGTAATCATGTGTTTAAGAAGAACATGTTCAGAAAAATAAAAATTAAGTTTATTGTAATTTTACTGGTTGTTTAAACTTTTTAGAAGTTACTTTATAACAAATTCAAAAATAAATGAAAAAAAAGATTAATTAAAGTTTCAAATTTATCGAAACATGATATTTTCAACCTGAAAAAACATGTCTTGTAAATTTCTTCCACTGAAATTAATTTCACAACTTAACATGCTAAGACAGATTTATCCAATAAAATAAATACTTCAAACAACTTATATTTTATTGAAGCACATCTTAACAAATACCAAGTTTAAATGTGTTATGAGTAATTTATGTCATCTATATTAATTTAAATCACATTCATTAATTTTATTAGATATAATGATTACAAAATTAATTTTTTCCTTAAAATTGTCTACTTCACAGTTTTAACTTTTTATTAAATAAATGCTAATATATTAACGTCAAAAATAGAAAAGACAGGTCCTCCCCTTCCTTTTATTCTTTATTTTCCTTCACCTTTTTTTGGGCTTCTTCACTTTTCAGAACCTGCTTCACCCTTCCCACCACCACCACCACCACCACATATTATCTAGCCATGCCAAGCATGGAGGATTCACCGTCAGGAGAAGCAAAGCTTCCACTGCTAGAATCTCATCCTCTAACAGATGAAAGAGATGATGAAGAAGACCAAACACTGGTACGGAGGTTTTGGTTCGAGTCAAAGAAGCTTTGGCACATAGTAGGCCCTACAATTTTCAGCCGTGTTGCATCCTATTCCATGTTAGTCATCACCCAAGCCTTCGCTGGCCACCTTGGTGACCTCGAACTTGCTGCCATATCCATTGCCAACAATGTCGTTGTTGGCTTCGACTTTGGTCTCTTGGTATACATAAACATAAACTATTTATTCCACTTAGTACAAAATTCAGCAGCAGTTATTTGAGTGATTTTTTCGTCTTACTTTTTAAGTAAAAATTAAAGCTTCAACTCCATAATTTTTTAAGGATGGTTTATAATAAATATTAAGATGCACAACTGAAGCTTCAGTTCAACAATCTTTGTAATGAAAAATTACTTTCAATGTTAACATATATACTAAGTTTAAAAACATCATAAGGTGCTAATGAAGTGAACTAGTATCAGTACCATGAGCTGTGTCTGTTGAAGGGTGGTTCAGAACACTAATATTTTTTGTTCTGTAATTTAACAAGTTGGGTATGGCAAGTGCCTTAGAAACGCTATGCGGGCAAGCCTTTGGAGCAAAAAAGTACTACATGTTAGGCGTTTACATGCAGCGTTCATGGATCGTTCTTTTCATTTGCTGTATCTTGCTTTTGCCTTTGTACTTCTTTGCCTCGCCAGTGTTGAAGCTGTTGGGGCAGCCCGGCGACTTGGCGGAGTTATCCGGTGAGGTTTCCATTTGGATGCTACCGGTGCACTTCGCCTTTGCGTTTCAGTTCCCTCTGCAGAGGTTTTTGCAGTGCCAGCTCAAGACGGGGCCTATTGCGTGGGTGTCTCTGGTGGCGCTCTTGGTGCATGTGTTTATCAGCTGGTTGTTCGTGTTCCAGCTCCAGTTCGGAGTTGTTGGTGCTGCTGCAACCATTAACTTCTCGTGGTGGGTGTTCACCTTGGGGCTTTTTGGGTACTGTGTTTGGGGTGGGTGCCCTCACACTTGGGCTGGTTTTTCAGTTGAAGCGTTCTCTGGGCTTTGGGAGTTTGTCAAACTCTCTGCTGCTGCTGGAGTCATGCTTTGGTACTTTCTCTTTCAAGTTTTGTTCTTTGTGAATGCTTGTATTTCTCAGCTTGTGTTCTTAACTTGAGGGGTTTTTTAACTTTGTTTCTGCAGCGTGGAGAATTGGTTTTACAAAATTCTGATAGTGATGACCGGAAACCTTGAGAATGCAGAGATTGCGGTGGATGCTTTATCCATATGGTAATTTTATTCATTGAGTGTTAATTAATGCTTCTCATTTTGGTTTTTTTATTTTATAAAACTTTTAATTTGATCCTTGATTTTGTAAAATTACTATCATAATTATTAGTATTGAGAAAATGATTGTGATGTAAAATGATCTAGTTGATGTTTATTTAAAGATTCTTGAAAATCAAAGTTAATTTATGAGCATTTTTCATAATAGTACTTTTTGTAATAATTTTTTGTCAATACTGTGTTGGCAGTATGACCATCAATAGCTTAGAGCTGATGATTCCTCTGGCATTCTTCGCTGCAACGGGGTAATATATCTAATTTTAGCGTGGTTTTTTCCTTTGTCTTTAAGTTTTTCCTCTTTCTCTATGTTTTATTTTTATTCTACTTGTTAAATTTTTTTGAGTAAAAAAATGGAGGCCACACTAAACTTCATACAGCGACACCAAGAGTAAAAAATAATTGATGAAAGGAAAATGCGGTTAGGTTCATGAACTATAGAGAACCATTAAACATGATTACATCAAACCGCGTGATTCAAAGGATAGAGAAACAAGATGATACACTGATTCATAACCTGTGATTAAATTCCTGTGGTGATTGAGACGTTTGTACATTGTGAAGTGGTGCAAAGTAAAAGACGTGATCATTTTCTCCACAATCACCATGCACCACCAAATTATTATTATGGATATAAAACAATTAAGAAAAACATGTGGCACCGTAGAAAATGCCTATTATCAATCCAAACTTATGCATTATTCACAGATGATGTTTCTGTTTGTCTTAGAGTAGAGAAGGGATCTCATAGAATGATGGTGATCCACAGACTTGGATGTAATATTGTTAGTGTTACCTCATGGTATGCATTGTTAGTGTTACCTCATGGTATGCATTGTTAGTGTTACCTCATGGTATGCAATCTTACATGATTCCTCCAGTGTTTTTAATATTTTCTTCTACCTTTTTTTTCTAAGATTTTTTAATATTAAATATTTGACATGGTCCTAATGGCTGACAGCGACAACCTCTGATTCTGTAATTTGATTGCTCCATAATGCGGCTGATCCAGTTGTACAATGATAATACAATATTTAATTCTCATGTCTTTAATTTTTTTTTTCTTGAAGTAATATTACTTTACCCATAAAAGGAAAATGAACTACTTTTATAATTGTTAAGAAAAGGAAATTTTAAGATTTTTTAAAATTAAGTCATTAGAAATTATTTTTAAAAACTAATAAAACTAAATTATCTTCAGATTTTTTATTTATTAAATTGTTCAATTTAGTTTGAATTATAAATTCAAAATTAAGAATAAAATAAAATGTTTATTATATTTAAATATATCATTTTATATATTAAGTTAATTATCAACTAATAAATGTACAGATATGTTTCTTCTTATTTTATAAGTTAATCATCAAGGGTTTGGTTTCAGCGTCATGAATGGACTAAGGGTAGAAGAAGGAATGTCCCCTTTAGCATAATGTAAAGAAAACATTTAAAACTTACAAAATGAATACTAATATTATAAAACAAACAATAATATAAAAACAAACATTTAATCTATATTTGTTGTAAGAACTTAAAAATGTAGAAATACAAATAATAATGTGGTTAGTTAACATGCAATCTGCAGAGTGAGGGTTGCAAACGAGCTTGGAGCTGGGAACGGTAGAGGAGCCAAGTTTGCTACTATAGTATCTGTGGTGACATCTGTTATCATAGGACTCTTCTTCTGGATGTTGATTTTGTTGTTGCATGATAAATTCGGATACATATTCACTAATAGCAAACCTGTCCTTGACGAAGTAAATAACCTTTCTCTTCTATTAGCCTTCACAATTCTGCTCAACAGTGTTCAGCCAGTTCTCTCAGGTAACCACCTAATGTTTAATTGCTTTCATTTTTCAAATATTAATAGTAAGAGTCACGCACACTTTTATTAGAAATTACAAAATTATGAATGGAACTCATTAAACAAGAAGGGTGACATATATATATATACTGAATATCTATTCCCTTTTTTGGATGATTTGAACAGGAGTGGCTGTAGGATCAGGTTGGCAATCATATGTTGCATACATAAACGTGGGTTGCTACTATATTATTGGGGTGCCTCTTGGATTTTTTATGGGCTGGGTCTTCAATCAAGGAGTTATGGTATGTTTGCTATGCTATTTTGTCTAATTTCTAAACATTTATGCAGTTATTTACCTAGAATATGTGAATTTCAAATGCGTTATTCTGACACTATTTGCTAATGAAATTGAACAAAGGGAATCTGGGCGGGGATGATTTTCGGTGGCACAGCAACTCAGACATTAATATTAAGCATCATTACTATGCGGTGCGACTGGGACAAAGAAGTAACTTTCTAGCTATTCATCTTTTTTCCTTCTCAATTGTGTTGATGGTTTTGACTTTGCATTATCTAATCTTAATCTATGATTTTGTTGGTTAAAATTTTCAGGCTGAGAAAGCCACATTGCATCTGGCGAAGTGGGCAGATCCAAAACAAGAACTGAACTAATGAATCTGCATATTTGTTTCAGGGTTTGGTTATATTTACAGAAACTAAATAATTACTAAATAATGTTTGATAGTTGCCTTACAAAAACAAAATGTTCTCTTTACCAATTTTCTCCCTTCAAAGTTCAAGTGCTGTTGCTGATTCTCCTTACACTCGACAAGCATTTTCTGAGAGCCCATTCAGGAAAGAAAATATATGATCGTGTGGAAGAAATTATTTTTCCAATTGATGGTTGTAGGAAGTAAATGTTCAAATATCACTTTTGTTTTTATATAGAAGTTGTTTTTGAGAGTGTTGGCTGTGCGTTCAAGAGTAAAAAACCCTGGAACAAAATCAGCAGAAGTACGGTGTAGTTACTTAATCTTCTATTGATTAGAGTGGTTGGGAAGTCACGCGTATTTATCATGGTGATGTGTGGTCTATTTTATGTACAGACTTGTCGTAGTTGTTGTTATGTAACTATTTATTGGACAAGTTATGTTTTATCTGAATAAGAAAAATCATATTTTTCTCTTTAATATGGTTACGTGGTATGTACCATCGTGGTGCTGTCGTATCTTTTGTGGATTATCGGTGTTTGAAGAACGTGGTATAACCCTTCGTCCACTGTATGACATCCGCCTATGATCGATCGAATAACTTGACATTAGACAGTATATCTCCGTCTGAAGGTCAAAAGATATTGAGGTTTTGCAGTGCTGGTGCCCTGATAACGTTCATGGCCAATTTATGATGTCTGTCCAACATAAATGATCTATGTTGATATTGTTCATGGCGAATTTATGATGTGAGTCCATACTCAACCACATATCTTAATAAACAAAAATCATCTTATGTCAAACTTATGCTAGATAGTCCCGTAGTTTAAATTGAATTAAATTTATGTTTGATCCGTTTAATAGAATTATATTATTTTTTAAATAAAAATAATATTAGTTTATTAATATATATATATATATATATATATATTATAAATTAATTTGAAAAAAAAATTAATTATTTTAAGAGAAAATATTAAAGATTCTAATAATCATTTATGCTATGATGAAATAATTAAGATTAATTATTATTTAAATTAATAAATTATTAAAATAAATGATGATATTAAGTAAATTTTTAATTCTTATTTTAATATTGAATAGATCAATTTTCTTATAATTTATATATTAAATTATTATATTTTAAATAAAAATTAATTTTATTAACATAATTTAAATTTTAAAATTATACTTTTATTTTTAATTTGTATTTAAATGTTTGTTTTAATTAATTATTTTGGTATAAATATGTTAATTTTTTTTAATTTTTAATCAAACCAAAATTGATTCATTAGTATGTTAGCTTAACATAAGATTATACTAAACTAAAAATTATAACTCGTTTTAAAATATAAATGAATCATCAATTTTTTTATTTTGACCCATAAGATCAAGTCAAACTGGGTCGGATCGCCTATTTTGACAAATCTATCAATATATATGTATCGACTTAAAAAAAATATGAAAACTACAAAATCACCTCACAATTATACATGAATACATAATACAATAAGTTTATAATTCTATGATCAATTTTCTAATATATATATATATATATATATATATATATATATATATATATATATAATTTTCTTAGATCATACCATTTTTAATATCCTAGATAAATCTTTTTCTCGTTTTAGATAGTTGTGTCAATGACTAGTTTTGTTTGTTATTATCAAACATTTATTAGATTTTTTTGTTATGATAATGTATTCATTGATTATTTTTCTCACATCATTGTATATATAGGAATCTTTTGTATTATGTTATACACAATAATATTGAGCATTCATTCTTTTTTCTTGTTGCTCCTTCTGCTCTCTTTACGGTGGTATAAAAGTTTTTTCTTTGAAGAACTATATTACGTTACTCTGATTCTTTTTCTTTATTTTTCATCATAACTTAGAAGTGAAACATGATTAAGAAAAATTCTTTTTTCACCCTAGGGAGAAGATCGCTACAAATCTTGTTTCTCCTTTTCTTGATTAGACCAATTATCATTTGTGTAGTCAATCTATGATCATTACTTTGAGTGAAAAAAACAAATTGGATTTCATCAATGATACCACAAAAAGAATCTCTTAAAGGTGATTCTTCTTACCAGTCTTGGAATTGCTACAACAATATAGTGATTTCTTCGATTGTTCACTTTATTTTTGAACCCTTACACTACTATATGCTTTTGTATTATCCTTCCTACAATTCAACAGAGGAAGGACGAAGATCGAGCTATGCAATTTCTTTGTGGATTCAATAAGCAATACGTGAATATAAAGTGTTTTGTCCTCTTGATGAAACTCATTTATTCTATTAACAAAATATGTTCTTATGTTTTACAAAATGAAGGACACATCCAAAGAAATGTTCTCATTAGAAAATTAAGACACAAAATCAACGTTATTGCCAACTCAGTCGATTCTTACTCTTATTGTGGAAGAAATGGTCATACCGAGAATGTCTCCTACTAAAAACATGGTTTTCTACAAAACCACGATAATAACGGTATCAAAATTTTCAAGAAAACTTGTACACACTATGCGAGAGTTGTCAAATGGGTGACCCTTTATCTGGGCTGATCCTGTGAGTCAAGTAAAAAAAATCGATGACTCAACCTATCTTATATTTTTAAATGGGTCATAATTTATAGTCTAGTATGACCCTATGTTAGGCTACTGTGATAATAGGTCAATTTCAGCCTAATTAAAAAAAATTAACATATCTATAGTAAAATAATTAATTAAAAATATTTAAATAAAAATAAATTAAAAAAAGTATTTTTAAAATTTAAATTATATTAATAAAATTAGTTTTTATTTAAGATATAATGATGTAATATAGAAATTATATGATAATGGATCATTCAATCTTAAAATAAGAGTTAAAAACTTAATTTTCATTATCATAATTCATTTTTTAGTAATTTATTGATCTAAAATAATAATTAATCTTAATCATTAAAGACTTACTATGATATTTATTCTTAAAATAAATGAATCTCTCATTAAATTAATTATAATACATATATATATATGTAATATTAATAAAATAATATTATTTTTTATTTAAAAAATGATTATTATTCTATAAAATAGGTCAGTCCATAAGACTTCAAACTAGCCCGACTTAAGTCCACGTAGACTCTAATCTAAATGGGTCGAACCAAAATAAGTTTGATTGAATTTATCCACAAATTTTTTAACCTCACCTAGTATATTTCTTGGACTTTTCGGGCTAACCCATTGATCTAAGCATATTTTTAACAACCCTAATCGTGGGAAGTTTGACCACACCATTAACGTTTACTACAAGAAGTATAGGTATCACATGGTCACAAATTATACAACGTAAGAGTAATATTAATGATATCAAACTTGCTAATGAAATTGGTTATAGCTAAAATAGATTACAAATCTCAGCTTGCCCCACCAAAGGGCGGGCTGATGGGCAGTGGCGGATCTTGAACATTGATCTTGAGGGGCTAAATAATATATTATTAATAAATAATAAATAAATATAAAAGAAAAAAAAAAGATGAAAGGGTGAAAAGATAAAATTGTAGATATATACTTAAATATATTAAATGATCATTAAGTTTGAGGAGGACAAAATAATAAATTATATAAGAGTTAGAAGGGATCGATAAAATTGTAAATAAATAAGTAAATATATTAAATGTTCATTAAGTTTGGGGAGTCCAAAATTATAAATTACATGGGAGTTACAAAACTTTGGGGGTCACGACCTCGACTCCCAAGAAGATCCGTCATTCATTGATGGGCCAACCCACAATTTTTTTCATTTAAAATTATATATATATATATATATATTATTTAAAAAATATTTTTAATTATACAAATAATTTTTAAGTTTGCATTTATTAATTAATATTTTTATTAGATAATTTAAAAAATATTATATTTATGTATTAAAATAATTAATTATAATCAATAATTTAAATTTAATTAATTAATTAATTTTTATAATTTAAATTATAATATTATAGTATATTTATATATTTCAATAACATGTTATAAAAAATAATAATCTTAATTATAATCTATTTTATTTTTATTTTAGTATATAAATATGTTTTTAAAGTGGGCCAACAAGGTTAATATGCTCGTTCCGCTATTTTTTAGGCAGGTTGTCGGCTGATCCAACAATCCTATTATATTTTGATCTATGTTTCTAAAGTAACTTCCATGTTGACATATGATATCATTTTTTCAAATAATTGTTACATTATATAGGACAAGAAACTCAAAGAGAATATTAGTTTAGTTAATATTAAGGCTGATTTATACACTCTTAACACCTTCATTAACTGATCTCATTTCATTCATTCATCTACTGTTGATAATAAAGGTACTAACATGCTTAATTAGAGCATTTATTCAATGAATGTTTACTTTTATGGAACAATAACATTCATATATACATTTCAATCAAAATTAATCGTGTAATGTCTATCATTTAACTAAAAAAAATGTTTACCTTTTATTCTTTTGCATGTTGACATTTGGAGACCTTGTCTCGAGGTATGTTTGCACTCGATATATTTGAGTTTATTTTATGCATAATAAAGGTGAAACTAGAAGTCATTTAGTCAATTTTATTACTTTTGTAGAAAATCAATTTGAAAAACATGTTAAGATTATTAGGTCAGATAATGGTCCAAAATTTCATATGAAGTTTTTTTTATTCTAAAGGTATTATTCATCAAATCAGTTGTGTTAAAACACCCAAATAAAATGATATTGTTGAAAGAAAGTATCAACATATTTTAAATATCACCCGTGATATATTTTTTCATTCTAAACTCACTTTAATCTTGATGTTTTGCGCTAAAACATGTTATTTTCTTGATTAATTTTATTTTGACCTTATGTCTGAACAACACTCTCACCCTACGAACGACTACATAGTACGCTTCTCGATCTGAGCAATCTTTGTGTTTTT